TTATTTTTTTTTTTTTTTTTTTTTTTTTTTTTTTTTTTTTTAATACACTTTTGCAATAAAAATTTTTTTTTTTAAATGCATTATAAGAATTATTTTTTTCTAATTTATGTTATTTTATTATATCTTATTTTATTTTTTATCACATTAATTCTATGTTTTATATAACTAATTTATCAGTTTTTTACCTTTTTAAAGTATGTAAATACCTTTTCATTTTATTTTATCTCTCTTTTTAAATTTTAATTCAGAAAAGAAATTGATAGTATCAACAAATATTTAAATTTATAGCAAAAAAAAAAAAAAAAAAATAATTTAAATAATAATATATATTTAGGTACTTTATATGTATAATATGTATATATATATTTTTTTCTATGTGGATAATTATATGAAGTTTGTGTGTTATTTTTCTATGTGAAATAATATTCAATTAAAGAACAATAAAAAATAAAATCATTGAAAAAATAAATCTCATATTATTGTATACATAAAAAAAAAAAAATTTCCAGTTATTTAATTATAAAGTGTTTTTAAAATAATTATCAACAAAGAAAAATATGTAATTTATATTTTGTACCTAAATTTTAATGAAAAAACAGGAATAAAAGAAAAAAAAACTTTAAGTACTAAATTGTAAAAAAAAAAAAAAAAATCAACTACATTTTTATTTAAAATTAGTTTACGTATTCCTTTAAGTTTTCATATATTATGAAACCATTCTTTTTTTTTTTTTTTTTTTTTTTAATAAAATTATATTTTTTAAATTTTGTGTGAATTTTTTTATCTTGTAAAATATTTTTTAAAGAAAAAAGTATAAAAATTTTTAACTTAAAAAAAGAAATATATATATATATATATTACAACTGAACATATATATATATATGCAAGTATAAAAAATACTAAAAAAATATAGGAGAAATTAAATGATTAAAGTCTCCTAAGAAGAGTTTTCTGTTTTTCTCTTTTTAAAGGAACACCTAAAATTGATTCTAATTTCTTCATTTCTTTTTCTGATGGAATGATTTTTCCTTTTTCTATTGCATATATATATCCACCTAAAGAAATATTATTATATATTTAAAAATTATAATCAATAATACAATAAAAATAGAAATACAAGTATAATCATAAAATAAAATGACATACCTTCATCTTGTGATGATTTTAAAATTTGTTGTGGATTTTCTTCTGTTTTGGGTTTTCCATCATAATAAAAAGAAGTCCCCCAATAATTTCTTCTTAAACATTTACTTAATGAAGCTGCTCTTAATGACCTTGATCGTCTTAAAAAAATAAGAAAAAAATAATTATTAACATGTAAGGAAATATTTATAAAATTTATAAATTCTTAAATAGTGTCAATATTCTGAATATATATGGATTTTTTTATTCTATTTTATTCTATTTTATTCTATTTTATTTTATTTTTTTTCATTTTTAAATATTATTTATACCTAGCAAATGCTATGAATCTTCCTATATGTTCAAAATGAGAAAATTTTATTCCTTTATTTAATCTAACTTGTAATCTACTACCAATTCTTAAGTGACAATGACCCCACCATAATCTTGTGCTTCTATTGTAAAATGATTTTCCTTCAAAAAAAATTTGAAAACAAATTTTTTTTTATTTTCTTTTTTTATCTATTTTTTTTTTTTTTTTTTTTATCTTTTCTTACCCATTAATAAAAAATATATGAGTTAATAAACAAAAAGAAATTCTATTAAATTTATGAAGGCTAATTAAGAAATATATATATGTAAATATATTTAAATGTTACAATTTTATTGTATTACATAAATAATACTTTTATAATTTAAAAAAAAAATTAAAAAAATTTAAAATTATAAAATAAAATATATATATATATATATATAAACAACGATAAATTATAACTTACATTTTTTTTTTTTTTTTTTTTTTTTTATNCTTTTTTTTTTTTTTTATCTTAATTTATTCTAGTTAATTAATTCAAGCATATTATTATATCTTGATTTTTTCTTTAACTTTTTAAATAATTTATATATATACGAAATTATAAATGTAGAGGATATATAAATTGATAATCGCATAAAAAAAAAAAATGTTGAAGCATATTTACTTAAGAATAATGAATGTACAAAAAACTTTAAAAAATAAAAAAATAAATGAATATAATAAAAATAACAGAGATGATAACAAGATAAAACAAGAATTAAGTTGTATTACAAGTAAATTGTGTGAGGAAAATGTAAAATCTCAAAAAAAAAATGATTATATGAAAATAAATTTTGAATGTAATATAAATAAAAATACAAATAAAACTGAAAACATAGAAAATAAATCCAAAGAATTATCAAAATATATGCTTATAAATAATAGCAATTATAAAAAAATTATTAACAGAAAGAAAGAAAATCATCAAGTTGATATAAAAAATGATAATAGCATTCAAGATAATTTATTAAATAAAAAAAATGATAATTGTGAAAATTTTAATATTAGTAAGAAATTATATGATGAAATGAGTGAAAATAATAATTTAAATAAAAATGAATTTAATAAAAATAACATCTTATATAATAATTATAATGAGAATAATAATTCAGATGATAATTTAAAATTCATTTTAAATTATTCTAGTATTCAAGTTTTAAAAAGTCTAAATTTAAATTATAATTATATAAATTGTAAAGATTTCTTTATGTCACTTTCTTTAATATGCAACCAATTAGCTATTCATAAATTTGATAATAAGAAATTTTGGTATATTTTAAGTCTAAAGTTAACAGATATATTGAAAATAAAAGATATTTATAAAACATTTTGTATAAGATGGCTTGCATTAATTTTAAATTCTTTTGCAAGGGTAAATTTTCTAAATAAAAATTTTATGAAAACATCATCATATTTTATTCAGAATTATAAAAATGAAGATATTCATAGTTTTGACATATCTCAAATAGTAAATTCTTTTTCTAAGTTGAGTTATATTGATCCTAGTTTATTTTCTTTTCTTGAAAAATTTATTTATGATAAAATTGATAAGATGAGTTGTCAATCTATTAGTAATATATGTAATGCTTATTCAAAATTAGATTTAAAATTTGAAAAATTATTTTTTAAGTTAAGTATAAGAATTAAAAAAGACATGGATAAATTTAACGAACAAGAAATAGCAAATATAATTAATTCGTACTCTAAATTAAGTAAAATAGATTTCGATTTATTTAATAAATTCTTAGATAATATATATAGAAAATTTTATGATTTTAAACCAATAGAAATAGTTATGATAACGAATGCTTACTCTAAGTGTAATATTTATAATAAATGTTTTTTTTCTCATTTATTTTCATACATTACGAAAAATTCCAAAAATTTTCATCCCACTGAATTATCTATATTAGCTAATTCTTATGCGAAATTTAACTTAAGAGAAATAAAAATATTTGAAATAATTAAAAAGGGAATAATTAAAAAAGAAAATATGCTTGATAGTGGTAATGTAGCTATGTTATTACATGCTTATGGAAAATTACTAATAAGAGAAGAGTATTTCATTTTAAATTTACTTAAAAAAAAAAGTCATTTAATAGATTTATTAGACTGCAGAAACTTAACGTTATTTTATGTTTCCTTAATTAAATTAAATATAGATATTCCTATATATATTTATAATAGTTTAAAATTAAATATAATAAAAAAATTAAATTATTTTACAGATTTAGCATTGGTTTCTATATGTTATTCTTCTATGTTTTATAAGTATTTTGATATTCATTTGATAAGTTCAATACTTATATTATTAAATAAAAGAAAAGCACGTAGTAGATCATTTTCTCATCAAATTCACGTTTCATTATTTGTTTTACTTTCTCTTTATGATTTTTATAAATTCTCGTTAAAATTTCTTATTTGTTTATACACACTTTTAAATAGGGCATCAGAATATTTCAATAAACCAAATTATTATGATATTAATAAGTCTACTATTCAAAAAAGAATTTTTCAATTTTTCCCAAAACAGTTAAATATCCAAAGTGAAGTGGCAGTAGGACCGTTTGTTGTAGATTTTCTGCTATTGAACAAGAATTTACATGAACAATATATAAAGAATCACAAATCAATTAAATAAAGTTATTAAAAAAATTTTTATGAAAAACCTTTTTTAAAAATTTCATAAAATGAACACCACAAAAAAAAAAAGAAATTTTTATTTTTTTAACAAAAGTAATTTTTAGTTTATAAATATACATATATATGTAATAGAATTTTTTTTTTTTTTTAGTTTTAGGAAATTATACACCTCTTTTTTTTTTTTTTTTTTTTTTTTGTATTATTAACAGTCTATTTCATTTTATTACTCATTAGTTTTTAATTTTTTTTTTTTTTCTTTTTTTTTTTGTTAAATATTAGAAAAATTTTTTATTAATGCATAATATTCTTTTCATTTTTTAATATATGAATCGAATAATATTATTTTAAACTGTTCTTATTATTTCATTTGTTTTAATAATTTTTTTTTTTTATATTTTAAAGAAGTTTCTTTTTTAAAACGTTTTTATCATTAATTAAAAAGTGCATATAAGGTATATATATAAATCAAAAAAGAAAAAAAAATTATGTTTTTAAAGTTCCTGCAATAAATTATAGAAACAATGGAAAAATATTACCAAAAATATATATATTTATATTGGTATTAAAAAAAGAAAAAAAAAATGTTTATATATTATAAATTTATATAATTAAATAGTTATCCAATTTTATTTTATTTTATTTTATTTTATTTTTTTTTATTTTATTTTTTTTTTTTTTTTTTTTAAAAAATTATATAATTCTCTTTTTAAAAAAATTATACATTATATAGTTAATGATTTAACAAATTCTTGGATCTTTTGTTTTTCTATTTCTTGATTTTTTATATATTCTACAATTTTTTTAGGTTCAATAATTTTTTCATTTTTTTCAAAATCAATTATTTCAATGTTTTGATCATCTACTAATTTCTTAATATAGTTTTCGTCTAATTTAGTTAAATCAGGTATTTTTTCATGTGGAAAGGTAATATCATCTGATAAAAAAGCTTTCAAAAAGTTATCAAAAAAAATACATTCATCTTTGTATTTTTCTTCAATTATGGCAATTTCATCTTTATATTTTTCAGCTGGTATTTCTATTTTATTAGAAAAGGCTTCTTTTAATTGTGCAACATATTCTACATAGATAGGATATAAAGAATCATCTTTATTATATCTTCTTAAAAATGAGTCAGAGATATTTTCATTAGATAATTTTAACCAATAATCTCCTCGTTCTTGTAATATTTCTGTGAATATATTTAATAATTCAGAATAAGAAGCATTTAATTTTATATTTTTTCTTTGAAGGTATTGATAAAAATTATGTAATGCTTCAATTGGTTTATAAATAGTATCATTATTATCATTTTTTTCTGGTAAAAAAAATAAGCAATTTACTTCATTGTTAAGTTTATATAATTTTCCTTTATGTAATTTTAAAATATTTTCTAATGATTCTTTTGTTTGTATGGGGATAAAAGGATCACACAAAAAAATATAATTTGACATTAATCTAGATAAAAGTAAATTTTGATAATCTTTCAAATGATTTAACAATTTTAAATGATATTCTTCTCCATTATGTTCGTAATCAATTGGTTGTAATTCTAAAGGTTGTTCTCTTTTTACTTTTGATAACTGTAGTTCACTTCTTCTTTTTTGTGCTACATCTAAGAATTGAAATCGTAAATCTTCTATATGTGTCTGCCATTTCCAGCTGAACAGTTCAGGAAAAAATTTATAACTTAATCCTGTTCTTAATAAAAAGTAGAATAAATGTTCAAGAAAAATTCTTCTATTAATATCATAATATTCCCATGATGGTAAATTGATCATATAATCATATAGTATTGGGGTATCACTTCTTTCATTAAATTTAGTTGTTTTTTTGTGCCATTCATTTTTTTCAAAATTTCTATTTTCTTCACCTTCTGGATCTAAACTTTTATTATTCAAATTATAAACTGAATGTTTTTCTACAAAAGCTTGCCAATATAAATCACTTTCTATCCATTCATTATTATCTAAATTACTTACAGGAGGATTATGAAAACTAATCCACAATGTTTTAGCACCATCTATTAAAAGTTTTTCAGAATTTTCTTCTGACTTTTTGCAATTTTTTAATGCTTCATCAAATAATAAATCTTCTTCATTTTTATCAATTTTTTTTTCTTTTTCTTCATTTTCTTCTAAATCTTCTAATATTTTTATTTGATTATCATAAAAACTTTTCATACTATATCACAAAAAAAAAAAAAAAAAAAAAAAAAAATTTTGGAGATTATTACAAATAAATTATTAAATGATAAAATATATACATATATATATATATATATATATATATATATATATATATATATATATATATATATATATATATTTTTTTTTTTTTTTTTTACCAAGATAAAAGTTCTTTATTGCTTATTTTGTTATTCCATACATTCCAATCAATTTTTTTAAAACTTTCACTTTCTTGTTTTTGTATTAAATTTTCTGCTTCAAATACTTTGCTATTCAATTCCTTCCAATAAGATAAATCATTTTCATTGGTTATATATGAACTTAAATTTTGCCATTTTTTTTTAAGGGATATTGTACTAAAAAATTTTGATTTTCTATTAAAAATTCCAAAAAAAATATTAATGTATAAATAAATATATAATATTTTATATAATAATTATATATATATATATAAAATAAATATATTCAGACATTACATTTATATCATATTCATTTATATAATGAATATATGTAAAAAATATAAATAATTATATATTTTTTTTAAATGTTTATTTTAATAATATATATATATAAACTATTTTCATATATTTTTCTCTTTTCATTTCTTTGTTATATATGTACTTTATTATATATTTATTTGTCATTTTTTTTTCTTTCTTATCATTTATTTATGTTTTAATATATATATATATATATATGTATATTTTTTTTTATAATACCTATTAAATATTTTTAAAGAATTCATCTCATTGAAGAATTACTATTCTTATAAAGATCTCAATTATTTTATTTGAGAATAATTTTTTTTTTTTTTTTTTTTTTTTTTTTTTTTTTTTTGTTTGATGAA